GGGATTTAAAATGTTTAAAAGATATTTGGCTAAGGGATGTGTAGGTGGATTTATGCTACTAACTATTGGTCGTAAAGGAATATTAACTTTATGAATTTTCGGAACTCCGTAAAAATGTGGTGTTTTACTATTTTGTGGTGTTAATTTTGATCTAACGTAATCTGTGAATTCATGTTTACATTTTTTAAAGTGTTATAAATTTGTCTTTCAAAACGTTCTGTTGGATTTTTGTTTAATTTTGAATAACTTTTGTCATTTAAAAAGGTGTTGTGATCGAAATTTTCCATATGTTTCGTGGCGATTTTCAATCACTTCTTTGGTTTAATCTGAAGGCCAACCTTTCCATCAGATTGAGATTTTGGTTCTCTCCTCACGGGTCTTTAGGTTTGGCACTTTGGAAATAACCGAGTTTTACTTCTTCATAGAAGAAGTGCCAAAACTCGTTTTTCCATGTACTATATGTTACATGTATTATGTACGGTATATGTATACGGGTATAGATGAGCAGGACAGCTGACTAATAAATTGATTTATGATAGGCAATGATTTATTAGATAAAAATTGTAAATTACCCGAATTGCTTTGACTTAAATCCAAAACCTCAAACACACTAGAATGTTGGGGCGCTCATCAAACAAACGATGACGAAAATAACACGTGAAAAAATTACACTTTTACACTACAAATTTTCAAGTTGTTTGTATATAACAGCAAAACTACTCTTGACTAACTCTAAATACTATAAACTCGAGGAAAATTAGTTAGTACATAAACCTATTATCTACGTTTGACCGAAATAGCACGCAAGTTGTACAAGACTAACTTGACTTATTCGGTTCGCAATTCGGAAATGGCCAGGCGAAGTCGCTTCCCTCTAAGCCAATGTCTTTGATGTTGGAGTGCATCACTATGAGAACCTGAAAATGCAGTTCGATTTTCCTTATGGACACCACAACATTACCTAAATTATAGCCAAACTGGCAGAAACCATTCAGATTAAACTGACGTGTTTCAAGTTTCTAATGAAAAAATCTAACGGAACTTGCTTATATTTCGGGTTTAAGTCTAACTCGCTTGCATGCACAAATCCAGTGAATTTTTAGACGTTGGGAAAGTCAGTGCTGAAATTCAAGTTCATAATGAAGTGGGTCGTTTGATGAGTCAGTGAGTGAACGAGATGTTTTTTCGGCCAAAAAACGTTTTTTTTCTCAACATAATCTCCTTTTGGCTCCAATTTTTTCATCCCTTCCAAAAAATATAATTTTGTTAGTTACTAAAATTCCTGGGGATGTCGCCCTAGTTGGGAAATTTTCGTCTAAGTAAGGTTTTCCAACGTTTTGGCGGTGCTCTGCTGCCTTCCTCCGGGTTAGACACTGTAAGAAAAATGAGACTGCAAAATCTATCTCTAACATACCTCTTGTTCTTGAAGAGCATATTTTTGCAAGAATTATTACAAGCTCCTAATATTTATACCGAGGTGAAAAATTATTAGAGAGCAGATTTCACTCACATGAATTAATTAATACACGATTCCATATCAGCACAAAAACAATCCAAAACACATAGCACAGTACATAAAATTATTTGTTGTCGAACTTAAATACATACTAAAACAAAATTTCTGGACTCTCCATGCTGAGAGATAATGTCGACTGAACTATTTGCAGAGGTGAATGTTTGATTCTGCCTGGAGACAACCAGAAAAAGTCTACTTATTCCACTTTATTGTACTTTTCTTCAACAAATATATAAATAAAATATCATTAAGTCAGAATGCCATTGTAAATAATGCTTACATTTTCAGTGTCTGCTTTAAAATTGATGTTTACATTTTTGATTATTTCAATTGCTTTAAGATTTTGGTATTTCATTATCTCTCTGGCCTCAGTTTGTCCTTTGTGGTAGTTGGCAAACTTTTTGTCTGATTTATTATTAATTCGAATCAAAAACAGCGACATGACTAGGGGAACATTTCCCGACTAGACTGCTGAATTTGCAGTTGTCTATTTTACATTCACGCCACATTAAAATAACATAAATAAATGGTTAAGTTCGCTGGAAATAGAATCGGCATCCAAATAAATGATAAACTCATAAAACGATTTCATTCTGAAAATGTCAAAGTATCGCGCTAAATATATCACAAGATCACTGCCTATTTGGCAAAGAAGTTGGACAAGACGGTAATTCATAACGTTGGCATTATGAGGAAACACACTGCCATTACGTAAAAATCACTGTAGGAAGTTTGCCAAAAGGCCATGGAAATTTATTAATGTTCGAATATCCAGATGGTTGTTTTCCTCCACGAGTGGCAATACTGGAAGTTATCAATGTAAACGAGTCGTGCGTCTGCACTGTAATCTGCATAATTTCAAAGTTCGATCGTTGAGAGGTTCAATTTCAATAAAACAAAGCGGACAATTTATTGCTCCCTTTCGCCTTAATTCCCGAAGAAACTCCTAATATTGCTGCGAACGCTGAAATATCGCCGGGGGAGTTTGCATTCGAAATTCACGATATCTATCATATTCCCATGCAACGGGCTCCTTATAAATGTATACGCAATTGTCTTGCGGGCAGCAGATGTGCCAAATGGGCCGCCATGTCTTTCACATTGCTCTCCTGCCGCTCTTTTTATGGAAAACGCTAAGCGAGAGGCCCTTAAATTAGTTCCAGAAGACGCAATATAAGTCTCGGACTTGATGGCTCCTCTTACTGCCTCACGCTCAACCATTTTAGCATATTATTTCGGTTTGCAGTGCTCTGGCAGGTTTAGATCATCGGTTGAATTTAGCACTAACTTCCGACAAAAATAGTGTCTTATTTAAGTCATTTAAGGTGAGTTTTTATGATTTAACGTATGAAATTTTCGACCAAAAATCAAAACTAATCAACCGTGCTTTATCGGAAGCGTCCGTCGTGTTTTATTTTGAGACTTGAATTTTTTATTTGCTCTTAACGAAAACATCGACCTCCACTGTTGTAAAATTTTTGAGTCTTTTGACTGCCTGCCACCTAAAGAGCTTTCCACTTGTGCAAATTTACGAGACGTATTAGATTGGTATTTATATTATATTTGTACTTGTATTATTTTTGATTATTATATATTTACATATAGACAATTGGTATGTGAGGGGAAATGTAAAGCCGAACTTACCGAAGGTTGCATCGTGCCACCTGGAAGAAAAAAGAAAATATGTTTAGTGTAGTCACCGGCAATAATTCTTAGATCCAGCTAATCCATATTCAAAAGCGGCGAAATATTATTTCGCTCTTAAGTAACCTCAATGGGATCAAGCTACGCATGTGGAAAAATGCACAAGACACCCTGTAGGTTAGTGATCATCTCACCAAGTTTCTGCATGCGGGCGCCCTATCCTCAACCATTTCACTTTAGATAAACCCATAGCCGAGCACACTCTTAATTTGTCCCTTTATCTTTTTACTCGACTGAATGATTAACATGTTTCCTATTGAGAAAGTGTATGTGGTCGCAAATGTACACACCGAAACATGAACAACTCAGATCAGGCGCACAATAGGCAATTTTTGCATTCCAAAGTGGTAATTTTTTGCATAATCCTGAAGTTTCAACGTTTTAGTTCATGCACATTTGGTGAACTGCTGAAGCAAAAAGGCGGATAGAATTAGTCACTCTGTAATCTGCAAATGTGCCAACATTTTCATAAGCTACCGAGTATATTGGGTATTTTCATTTACCGATCTTTAGGCTTCGTCGGGTTTAGGGGAGAGTGTCGTACTTGAAGACTTTTTCAGTTTGTTTTCCAGATAATTCTTGATAGTTATATGCAGCATGTTTGAGACCATCTAAGAGCAGCTAAAGGCAATTGAAAATCAAAAATTTAAAAAACCATTCAAAACTAGCCAAACTTTCGTTTGCTTCAGGATGAACTATTTTTGTTTTCACACTTAAGAATATTGTTTAAGTTCTCGGCAATTATTCAAAAGACGCTGAATTTGAAGACATTTTTCTCCTTAAAAGCCTGGCACTTTTCACCTCGTATTTCCCACAAACCCGTCGGATATGCAATTAAAAAAAAGTGGGCGCACTAAATAATTCACGAACTATCTCGATAAATTCTCGAAAGGAAAACACGTCGGCCAGAAACCGCAATTGGACATTATCAATGAGGGTGCCCCTGTTCTTCGAACCCAAAAAAGGAAAAGTGGAAATTGGGCAGGCGGGCGTATGTTTGTTAATTTGGTTTTAATTCGCCTGCCAGGACGAAACTTTTCACTTGAATTTAATTTGGAACTGGCAGGCCCCATAAAACTTTTTTTGCAACGTAACCTTTGGCTGAAACTCCTTGAAGTTTACCGGTTATTAATGTGCACCGTTGCCAGTGTCCAGGACATAAAACTCTCAAACTATATTCCCAGTGATATTTGAAACATTCTTCATTGATTTTCACCTGAATCTACGTCGATTAGTTGCTAGCAAGGATGCCTTAAAAAAAAACCCACAACCCACTCGATTTTATGGACACATTAAAAGTGACTTTGTGAGCAATTCTTTTATTAACTGTGGCTGTATTCTTAATCGTAAAGTGATACAACCATGTCTCGAATACAAGGTAAAATCGACGACGTAAACTTTATAGGGCCACTTGAAGTGCCCAACTTTTATGAGCCATAAAACTGGGAGTTTAGGTTGAAATGAAAAACGCCCTGTCACTTTAGAAGAATGGTTCAGTTTGTTGTTCGTCTAGCGGCAGCAAAATAAAACAATTAATGGAAAATGTGCTTTTTTTTGAACAATGCAACGCACAGTGTTTAGCCGCAGGGAGCATGAGATCATTTCAAGCTTACGGTTTTGTGCCTTCGGCCAATTTTAATATATTTTATTCCGTTTTGAAGTGGTTTTCCCGGCGATTGTTGAGAATTAGTTGTTCTTTCACCATCCCTGGAAAATTAATCTTCTTTCATCGATATACGTCTAGCAACAACAACTGCTGAGTATACCGGCTGTTTCAAAGATATGATATGAAGACTGAACTTCGTGTGGAGGTTTTGTAAGAGTCATAGCTTTTCTTGCATGCTTCTATGCCATTTTTTCGCATCATATTCAATTCGGGTATAATCTTTTCGGGAAAGAAAGTGTTTTCGTCAAAAGTCGCTGCAAACAACCGTTTTCCAGATAATTGACGCATGTGTTTTCCACAAAATAACACTACTCAACTAAAGTATTTTACTGAAAAGAACTGCCAACTTGAAATATCAGGGCTTATAGAAGACACTTCAAGGAACAAATCAGGAAAAATTGAAGCAGATCAAAGTGAAAGCTGATTTTTAATAAAACACCGAAGATTGAACTGCAATTGGCCCGATCTCCTAAATACCCTCTTTTTTCAAAATTTAGCGCATCCAACCCAGAACAATCTCAAAACTTGCAATCTCTCAGGCATAAGACCCTCCTTGGAACAAATCAGACAAAATTCAAGTAGATCTAAACGCAGGTTGATTTTCAACAAAACATTAAAAATCGAGCTGCAAATCGACCCGATCTCCTAAAGACAGTCTTTGTACAAAATTTGGCATATCCACACCAAAACAAGTGCAAGCTTGAAGTCTCTAGGGCTTATCGACCCTACTTCAAGGAAAAAATGATGAAAATGTGGAGCAGATGGAGGTGAAGGCTGATTTTTGAACAAAACCGAACATCGAGTTAGAAATCGGCCCGATCTCTTAAAGCCAGTCTTTGTACAAAATTTGGCGTATCGACACCAAAGCAAGTGCAAACTTGAAGTCTCTAGGGCTTATCGACCACACTTCAAAGGAAAAATGATGAAAATGTGAAGCAGATGGAGGTGAAGGCTGATTTTTGAACAAACACTGAAAATCGAGCTAGAAATCGGTCCGATCTTCTAAAGCCAGTCTTTGCACAAAATTTGGCGTATCCACACCAAAGCAAGTGCAAACTTGAAGTCTCTAGGGCTTATCGACCAAACTTCAAGCAAGAAATGGTGACAATTTGGAGCAAATTGAAGTAAATGCGGATTTAGAAGACATCGAAGATTGAGGTGCAAATTGGGCCGATCTCCTAAAAAGACACTTTTCACTGTATTTCCTAATATAAATTATGACTTTTACAAGATATAAAGACCTCAACAAAGCGTCGTCTACAGGTCGAAACCATGATCAGATTCAAGTTTCTGATGTTTTTAAACTTGCAAACATTGATATTATTTGGACAATTATTTAGAAAACACAAAAATTAAAATAAGAAAGGCCCTGCGGACCCATGCCCAAATGGATTTTTATCGTAAAATTACCTGAGCAATCGTCCAGTGAAATAGCGGACACTTTATGCCGGAAAAACACCCGGTATATATTAGATGTGCCACCATCAAATGCCGGTATCAAGAAAACGTGAGCGAGATTATCAACTGCCTTAGACAGATCGAGAAAAAACTCAGAAACGTGATTCTCACATCGATCGCATGCTTGTGTAACAATTTTAAATCTTTCGCTGCAACATCTGCCGATCTCCTTGATTTTGTCGTAAAATGTACGGTTTCTTCATTTTTCCACTTGGCAAGAGTTGGGTCTTCATAAGCGATCTTTATTTGCAGCAACGGAAAGTTAGTCGATGAAAACAATTCTTTTCTTCAACATGCAACTCTGGTCAGAGCACATTTTCAAATATAAAAAATTGGCG